GCCAGACACTGGTTCTCCAAGGAGAGGATGTCTGAATGAGCAGACACCTGCTCATGTGTCCTCTTCATGGTCTTCACATCAGGAAGAGTGGCCAGGCACCGGTTCTCCAAGGAGAGGATATCTGGGTGGGCAAACACACACCCCTGGAGTTTCTCCATCACTGGAGCTAAACCAGCATATGCCTAAAAGGAAAAAGGCAGGTGATGAGCACCTGGCTTTACTGGGATTGAGTGTGCACTATCTTTCCCATACCAACCAACCAACCCCACTTCATCAATTCCAACTCATAGTGCCCCTATACAACAGGGTAGAATTGCCTCATCTTTCTCCCATGGAGAGGCTATGGGAGAGGAACAGAAGGGCAGGGTTTGAACTGGCAACCTTTTGGTTAGTAGCTGAATGCCTTAACCACTTCACCATCAGAGCTCCCTTTCCCATATCTTCATCTATCTTTCTCATAGTCCTCCTAATAATGCCAGTGACCTTCAGGGAGATAGCAATCAATGTATTTTTTTCTCAGGACTGGGATCATCTAGGTAGTATTCTAACCGGGAGAAGAGGGAAAAGGTGAGACAGAAGTTTAAGAGCAAAGAAGTTTTTTTTGCCAGGGGCTAGAGAGGAATGAGACATGTCTTCTCATAAGGGGGTAAAAGACACCCTCGAGACTATTGGTTTGACTTCAACATAGTATTGTTGTTGTTATGTGCCATTGAGTTGGACCCAACTCATAGAGGCCAAACTTAGAATCTGGACTCTGGCATCTCAGCTCCAGAGAAACAAACATTTTGATTAAATTGTCTATATTCACCACCTCAACTTCCTTATCTCCTATTCACTTTTCAACCAACTAAATGGGGATTCTGTCTCCACTGCTCTATCAAGAATACACCACTGTCAACTGCTCGGAAGGGAATTGGTGCAGGAGATCTTGGATAGAGTGGGAAAACAAATTGGAAAAAAAACTCAAAATCATTAAAAAAAAAAGAAGAAGAAGAAGAGAAGACCAGATTTGCTGGTCTAATAGAGCCTGGTGAGATCCCTGAGATTATGGACTCTAGTTACCCTTCAGGTCTGGAACTTAACTCACTCCTGTGGCTTCTAGCCAAACAACAGACAGGCATATGGGGTGGACATTTACATCAGGAAGATACACTCCTTGGAGCAATCAATTGTGGGAGAACAGAAGGGCAGTGTTTGCACAGGGAGGCAGCTGGGGGGGGGGCAGGGGGGAGTACATGGGAGGGAAGGTCCCAGGGAATAGGTAATAGAAGGAAGAAGTGGGAAGAGAGCTGCTATATTGTGGGGATGCACTCAACGTCGTGAAACAAAATGTGTATGAACTGCTGTATGAAAAATGAATTTGCTCTGTAAACTTTCACTCAAATCACAATTTAAAAAGAAAAAAAAAAAGGATACTACATCACTCTGTTTATTTTCTTTATCATGATAAAAATATTATCTTATTTCTTTATTTGCTCCCTGTTTGTTTGCCTACTTGTTCCCTATTTCTCCTTACTAAAATAAAACTCCCTAAGGATACGCTTTTGCCTAAGGCACTTGACTGCTAACCAGAAGGCTGGCAGTTCAAACCCACCAGCCCCTCCTCAGAAGGAAGATGGGGCAATCTACTTCCGTAGTGATTGTTGTTGTTGTTGTTATGTGCCGTCGAGTCGATCCCGACTCATAGCGACCCCTCCTTGGGTTTCCGAGGCAGTATCACTACGGATAGTAGGATTGCCCAACCTTCCTTCCGAGGAGTGGCTGGTGGGTTTGAACCGCCAGCCTTCTGGTTAGCAGTCAAGTGCTTTAGCCACTAT